AAGAGCTTGACAGCAATGAAGTATCAACCTGATGTTCGCCGTCCTTTTGGCAACGATCGGGGCAGGTGGAGTGGGAATTGACCTGACTTGTACACAGAAAGTGTACTTGATGGTGAGTTCGTGTAAAAAATAGGACATGTGGACACTTATATTGACGCAAACACGGCTCCAGGAACCATGTTGGAATCCGAGCGTAGAAAGCCAGGCAACGGATCGCGCCTATCGGCTAGGCCAGCACTGCACTACACAGATCATTCGTTACTTCATAAAAGGGAGTATTGAAGTCAATATGATGGAGGTGCGGTGTGAACATCACTCTCCCCAACCGAGGTCTAAATTAAGCTAATGAATAAATGAATATGTACATGTCAACATTTTTATAGATACAGAAAAGGAAACAGGAGCTAGCACAGTAAGAAATTTCTTTTTACATATGGGCAAACACATCACACGCTGATAAGAGTGATCGCACAGCTTAGCGTTTGATCAAACAAGTGATAACCCGAAGGAGGCGGTGAGAATCATGATGGAATCTATTCATCGACAACAACAGAAAGAACGTCAGATAGCAGGAAATTCGCATGGAGGATTATGAGTATTCAAGACTTCCTGGGCGACCTGGCCTCTGGATTGGACGTAAATAGGAGCGTAGCAGTTTTGTGGTAAACCGATAGGTACTCGGACATGTTGGGGTACGTTTATAGGATTGCGTCGACGCAGTTCCAGTAATTTAGCCTTTTGTACATATCGAGCACCTTTTTGCTCGCGCAAACGTTCCACTGTGGCCTCGTCCAACTTGTGAGCAAATTGAGTCAATTCTTGAGAGCGCCATGGTACGTGCAAGCGATAGAGGTTTCCTGCATCATCTTCTTCCGTGTCAGAGGTGCAAGCGGGATCCATGAAGATCCGGGTTAAGGTAGCTGGGACGCCCAACGCCACACAAGTGTCGACGCGATGATCACTGAGCTGCAAAGATGCGCCAGTGAAGACAAAATGAAGGGTATGAGTGAGAGAGTGCGGCTGTTATAAGGAACGTAGCTTGGAGACGGACCTGCTTCTTCCTCTTGCTACGTTGTTCACGGTCGGCTTTGATTTGACGCCAGTTGAGGCTCCGAGCCGATTTGCGAAGCTCACCCTGGCGGCCGTGAATCCAACGGAACATAATCTTTTGACCGTTAGCAGCGGTGTCGTCGGTGGGTGAGATGGCGTATTTGTACAAGAGGCCGGTGTTCTTTGCAAAAGTCAAATGTTTCAAAATCATACTGGCAAACCACGTGTTATAGGGTGAATCTGGGGATTGAGCCCATGCAAAGCTAACATGATGGATGTTGATGTGGGCCATGTCTTGCACAAAAAATTGGCGGCAAACTACAGGGATACACTTAGTCCTCCCTCCAACCTCGAGGTCTGAAAGATTGTTTTCGGAGAGGTATGAACGGAAGCGCGCAAGAATAACAGTATTGGTCGATGCCTCTTTGGATGGAGTCTCAAAAGTCGAAAGTGTTGATTGGGGTGGCGCAGGAGGAAGGTCACTCTTGGCAGCTTCGATTCCCAGGACGACCCTGGTAAAGTCGTGGATGGACCGAGCGAATGCCGAATTGCCGCTCGGAATGCCGCTTGCGCCCAGTTGTGAACGGAGGTTAGTGACAGTCGTAGGCATTGAGCCATTCTGGAGGACAGTGGGGCTGGTTGTCATGTTGAAAAGGGTATGACAAGTCGCAGTGGTACTGGAATGTTGAGATCAGCGGGGGCAGAAGAGAATAAATACTGGTGCGGTGGGCAACGGGTGACGGCTGGCGGCAAGGGCCTGACAATGGGTGTTGTGGAAATTGATTTGCCATTGATGCGGGAAAATCCCCTTACATTGGCAGGCACCTCTGAAGTGAGCCCCCCCCCCCCCAATCGGAGAACGAATCAAGACACTCTTGATGGATACTTGGACGATCGTCCAATTTGTCCAGCTTGAGTCTTTGGACGATCGTCCAATTTGTCCAGCTTGAGTCTTTGGACGATCGTCCATTGTCCAGCTTGAGTCTTTGAACGGTTGTCCAATTGGTCCAGCTTGAGTCTGATGCTGGGTTGGCGAGAGCAATGTGAATCCCTATGCCTTACCAAACTGTGTTTTGTTTGTCATGTGGCAGCAATATCAGGAGGAGAGCGTGTTGGCCCCGCCAACGTCTCTCGTTGACTTGGACGATCGGCCAAGTTGACAAGGCGACTCGAGTCAACAGGATGTGTCAACTGATGGCAGGTGACAAAACGTTAAGCAACATCAGATGGCTTTGAAAACCAACCAATAGTTTGACGCTTACTTTGGATGTACATCACAACTCACCGTTTTTTTAATGAAGTAATACACGGAGAGAAGTGTTTGACTAAGACATGGGAAACGCATGACTTAAGAGGATGGTCGTATGAGAAAAGAGTTCCTTATTCATTCCCCGTCGACACAAAGCAGAAAAGTATATGGAGAAAGTGTAGCAAACAAGCAACTGGTCGAATTTCAAATTCACACATCTGGTTGGAATTCAAATATACGCTAAGAGCTGGAGCGGATACATGCACTAGTCAACGTCTGAATTGCACTCGCAAGCTGTTAATTCGGCCTGAAGTCCTTCAACCAAGAATGATGCGCATTCTTCTGTGGTTTTTGAGATTTCGTCCTCAGGGGAGTCCTTAATTATGAACGGAGTTTGTATGTGTCGATGTTTGCCAATGGCATCCTTGAGCAAGGCATAAACCTTGACAGAATAATAGCATTAGAGGCGAAGGGGAACATGACACAGTGCTCGTGTAATGGACTACTCACTAGAGGGCTCATGCCACCCGTCGAGACGTGATACATCAAGTCATCGGGCATTGGATCACCCGCTGATACTTTGATTTGCTCTGTAAGGGTCTGGCAAAGTCTCCATCTGATCAGGGGAGGGCGTGTGGATCACGCAAATGATCAATGGAAAGCCGCCGCCACTTACTTTCCATACTTGACAAAGGTGAGTGTATTGGCCCTTCATCTCCATGATTTGAACGAACCCATCGAGTCGTGGGTATTGTCGCAAGACGTCAGCAAAGTTGGCAAAGTAGGTGGCCTTC